GCCTGCCGAGGTGTGTGTAGGCTTCCTGGCAATCTGGTCTTCTCACGAGAGGGAGACGGTCCAGGCGTTTGCCAGCTGGTGCCCAAATCAATCTTCTTTCTGATATTAAGCAAACACTATGTCATGAAGGTTATTCCTGCTTGATCTGTTGATTTTATAGGGAACTGGACTTTTGTGACTTGTTATAAAGCTGATACATAACAATACATTTATGGGCTACAATGTGGGATTTTTGATAGATATGTATGATGTGAGATGATCAAAGCAGGGTAATTACCATACCCAGCGCTCCAAACACTTGTCATTTGTCATGGGAACTTTCACAAACCTCCTTTTCTAAATATCTTGAAGAACATAGTAAATTTTTAACTGTATTTGCTTTTCCCTGCTGTAACACATTAAACTTTATCATGACCTAACTGATCTTATCGTAATTACCCACATAATGTGCCCATTACGTGACATTTAATATTACATTGGTTTGAGTGACATCTTTGTGTGTGTGTGTGTGTGTGTGTGTGTGTGTGTGTGTGTGTGTGTTCTGAAACAAAGCCTCATGTAGCCCAGACTGGCCTCACACTTGTTATGAGTGGACACTGGCATTGAACTCCTGATCTTTTTGTCTCTGCTGCCCAATTGCTGGGATTACAGGCATGTGCCGCCATGCCCTGCTTGTTTATTTTCCTAAGATTATTTTAAAAAAGACTATTCATTTTAAGATTTGTTTTCTTTTTGTCTACGGTAATTAAATAATATATTATTTAAGCCAGGTGTGGTATTATACACCTTTAATCCCAACACTCAGGAAGCAGAGGTATGGAGATCTCTGTGAGTTCGAAGCTAACCTGGTCTACATAGGGAGTTCTAGGACAGTCAGAGCTATAAAAAAGAGATTTTTTAAAAAGTATATTGTTAAATTTCTACATGTTTAGAAATTTTCTCATTATCTTTTTGTTGCTAGTTTCTAGTTTGGTCCCATTAAAGTCAAAGAACACATTATGTAATGTAAATTCTTTTGTAAATTTAGTACTGTCTGTTTCCAGATCCAGACAGACACAGTCTTTTTCTTGTTTCATGAATGCTTAAGGGAAAGTGTGCATTGAGTTGTACACATCACCTTTGATTCATTTTTTATGTGTGTCCCTTTCCATGTGTGTGATGTGAAAGTGCATGTGTGTGCATGTGTGTGGAAGCCAGATAATAACCTCACAAGGGCCACCTCCAAGAACTTCATCCATCTCCTTGGAGTCAAGGTCTATCCTCAGCCTGGAGCTCACCATTTTGGCCAAGCTGACTGGCCAGCAATCCTTTGGTATCCTCTGTCTCCCGCTAGCATTACAAATGTCCACTCCACCAAGCCTGGCCTTTGAAGGTAGATTTTGTTTATTGAACTCAGGTCATTTGCTTGCAAGGCAAGCAGTTTGCTGACTGATTATCATCCCAGACCCATTCTAGAAGTTTTTGAGACTTTAAACTAGCAGGGCATGGTGGTGTACACCTTTAGTCCCAGCATGTGGGAGGCAGAGACAGGTGGATCTCTGTGAATTTGAGGCCAGCCTGGTCTACTGAGTGAGTTCCAGGATGGCCAGGGCTATATAGAGAGACCTTGTCTTAAAAAAAAAAATCTAGAAAACCAAAGCAAACAAAGAAACAAAACCAAAAAGACCTTAAACTGTGGGCTCCCTGAAGTACTTAGTAGCTAGATGGCAGTCTTAGTGGGTGTAGGGTAGGGGTGTTGATTGACATCAAGCACCTGTCCTTCCCTCTCCCGTTACCAGAGAAGAGAAATCGTGAGAAGAGAAATATTTACATAAAAGTCCGTATTTCTCAGCTGCCCTTGCAGAAACAAACTTCTTCTGTCTTATTTATGTCATAGTTAATTCCATCCTTTCTCTCATATTCCGTATAAGGGAGTTCTGAGAAAATGGAGAGGGAGTGGATCTGGGGGAGAGGAGAGGTAGGGAAGAGCTGGCAGCAGTCGAGGGAGGGGAAGCTGTTGTGGAGATGCATTGCATGATAGAAGAATCTATTTTTAATAAAAAATAAAATAAAAAAAGAGTTCTGAATGTTACAAGATTTGCTGGTAGTACTTCAATACTACAAAGCCAACTATGTATAACACCGAGATTTCTGAGGAAACCGTGGTGGGCCCCTTCACCTCAGGACTCCATGTGTGCTGGGCCGGCCTGGCAGGTAGGGGCTCTGACAGTGGGAGGCTGCAGGGTCCGTGCTCAGACTGAAGCAGATGGCAGAGCAGGCTTATCTCTCCTTTCCTTTCAGCTCATGTTTAAAGTCTATAATTCAACACATGTTCTTGCTCTGATTTCTTTTCATTGGCTATATTTAATATTCATGTATGCCATACCAAATTTAGGCCTCAGAGCTGAAGATGAAAACAGTGATAACGTGGGCCAGATTCTAGATGGTTAGCATGTACAAGTTCACAGAGAGCCTTTAAGGAACCATGGCAATGGCTATGAACTTGCTAAGAATCAATTTTGCATGGGAAGCTTTATCCAGCGCACAATTACCTAAGTGCTGTAGCCTCACGAAATTGGCAGGGCACTAAAACTATAAATGCAGGCTGTCATTCATTTAATGAAACTATTATTTGATGGCGCCTTTTCCCTTTGGAAAGTTCCTTAAGAGCACATTAGGCCAACTGGTCATCTCTGACCAAGGCTCCTCTTAAAATATCGGACGGAGCCCTTCTGCCTTAAATGTCTCCAGATCTGGGCCAAACGGAGACACTCTATTGAGCACTTACTGGCTGCCAAGCCCTAGCTCTTTACAATAATCCTATGGGAAAGGTTTAGTGATATTCCCTCTGCCTGCAAGAATCAGGCACTCAAAACAGATCAACTTGCCCGCAGTTCCTCAGAGGTCTTGAGGGACAGAGTTCGATTCAAACCTGGACTTCAGGCTACTTGCAGCTACATCTGACTGCTCCCCGCCTCCCCACCCGCACACTTTGTGTTGTGTGTGTAGCAAAGATCTCTTTCTGCCAGGCTAAGCAGCTTTCTGCACAAGGGATCTATTTCCCGTTTTCCACCAGTCAGCCTGCTATTTGTCTCCAAATCTTTTGCACCCTCCCCTCTCTGACAGACCCTCCTGGCACTAGCTATAAGTGAGACCTCTGCCCTCTGGGATTTATCCCCATCCTTTCCATGCCTCTGTGGTGCTTGTCACTTTTGTTTGTTTTTAAGATGGAATCTGACAATGTGACTCTGACCTCGTATTGCTGTCCTTGAACTATGTAGACCAGGCTACCCTTGAGCTCACAGAGATCTGCCTGCCCCTGCCTCCTGGGATTAAAAGTGTGCACCATTATGCCTGAATAGTTTATCGCTTTCTTAACTTGGGCTCTTGGTGTCCTTAAGTGAGCTATTTTAATGATGGTTTATTTGGTCCTTCAACCCTGCAGATATTCCAGTGGGAGTTCACATCTGCTGCTTTATAGGCAAGGAGACCAGACACACAGCAAGCTGATGTGGTGGAAGAAAGGACAAACCCAGATTACAAGGTCTCAGAATTATAGTACATATACACAACACCCCTCTGTCATAGGGTAAAGACATCTAGTAATTCTTTTTTGTTGTTAGTTTTTCGAGACAGGGTTTCTCTGTATAGCCCTGGCTGTTCTGTAACTCACTCTGTAGACCAGGCTGGCCTTGAATTCAGAGATCATCTTGCCTCTATTTTCCCAGTGCTGGGATTAAAGGCACGCACCACCACTGTCTGGACTAGTGATTCTTCTTAAAATGAATTATTGGATGTATTGGTGAAGTGTGATGGCTATTCTTTTTTGCTTTGTTTTGTTTTTCGAGACAGGGTTTCTCTGTGTAGCTCTGGAGCCTGTCCTGGAACTCGTTCTGTAGACTGGGCTGGCCTCGAACTCACTGAGATGCACCTGCCTCTGACTCCCAAGTGCTAGGATTAAAGGCATGCGCCACCACACCTCGCGTGATGGCTATTCTTGATGGTCAATTTGATTATATCTGGAATTAGCTAAAACCCAAGCAGCTGGTCACACCTATAAGGGATTTTTCTTGGTTGGATCATTTGAGGTCAGAAGACCCACCCTAAATCCATATCTTTTGAGGTGGGGAGACCCACCATCAATCTGGGCTAGATCTGGTGGCAGCCTATATAAAGGACCTGAAAGAATGAAGCTTTTGCTGTTTGCCTTCTTGCCTTCGATCTCACTGGCACATTCATTCTTTCATTGGTATTAGAGCCCACTTCTTCTGGATTCCAAGGTATACTGAAGACCAGCTGGGACATCCAACCTCACGGACTGATGATTGGATTCTTGGACTTTGTGTCAAGCGACTGCCATTGATGGACTACCCAGACCACAGGCTGTAAATCAGTCTCGTAAACTTCATACATGATGTGTATGTATGTATGTATATACAGATATAGATTTTATCTATTAGTTTTGTTCCTCTAGAGAATTCTAATAGTGTAAAGAATATTGGAAGTCTATTAAAAAAAAAGTTTAGTAAGAAATAACCGCCGTTTTGACAGGACAGCTGAAGTATGTCCTCTCCCCTGAAATATATGGATTCCAAGTGTGGACAGGGATTTGCGGCAGTAGAAACTCCCCAACATTGAAACTAGCCGGGAGTAAAGAATGATCTCCTTAACATAGGGAGGGTTAGATTGCAATTCTGTAAAAAAGATTGACTGTGAGTCGGGAACCTGTGTGTACTCTACAAAGCTTCTTCCTTAGGAAAGCTCTAGAGAAGGTTGCCTTTCTTTCTTCAACTCTGGCCACCAGGGCGGAAGGCAATGGCCTGTCGCTTTAAGAATCTGGTGGCAGTGGCTTTCCTCTCCCCGCCCCGCCTCCCGCGGTACCGGCGGCCGGGACCACCCACCCCTTTCTCCTCACGCGGCTGTACTACGGGTTAGTTGGCCCATCCGTCACAGAGGCGCGACCTATGATTGGCTGCTGCGCTTTGGGCCGGGAGGCGGGGCGGGAAGGCCGGAGAAACTAGTTAGTTGGCGGCGCTGGTGCGGGTCTGCTGCGGGAGCGCGGCCGGGACTGGTGAGCCTGCCCGGGGCGGCGGCGGCGGCAGCAGCGGGGACTGCGTGGGGACTGCGCGGGGGCTGCGGGGACTGTGGAGCTCGAGGGGGGTGGCATAAGGTGAGTACCAGGTCGGGACCGGGCCGACAGGGGGCGCCGTCGTCGGGACTTGTCACCGGGACAGCGACCCTGCCGGACAGGGCGTAGGACCGCCGGCGGGGTTCCTTGGGTCTGGGAAGTGTCGGGGGGGATGACCCGGGAGGGCCCCTCGGCCGAGCTTGGGGACCCCGTATGGCTTTGCTCAGAGCTCCCGCGGAGGCAATGAATTGTTTTGAAAACGGATGTTACGCTCGGGAGCTGCTACCCTCCCCCGGGAGTGGTTGATTCATTGAGTCCGCTGACTCTTTTTAAAAAATTACTATTGATCCTAGAAAGAGGAGGCTGTTTGTCTTCGAGGATGTGAACAGCGCAGTTCTGCGCCCGCGCCAGGCCAAGGTCCGCATGCCTAGTGAGATGGCCGAGGGGTTAAACAAGAGAAGAGAAGTCCCCGGAATCCGGCCGCATGTGGCCCGCCGTGCAGGGTCCTTCCTGTCCGGGAAGTTGTCTGTCCAGAGAGCGGGGTGACACACCCCGGAGTCGCACCCACCCACACACTCAGGTGGTGGCTCCACCCTGGGGCTATAGCAAATCTTCCTTCTCCCCAATTGCTCGACCCTCCTCCCAAGAGTTGCCCCGGCTGGAGAACTCCGCTGTGGTTTGCAAGGCCCTCACTTGCCTGTAATTCATAGTTGTAGCAGAAGCTTCATTTTCCTGTTGTGGAATTGAGCCTCCGGGGCACCAGACACCGTTGGGTGCAACTGTTTCAGGGACCCTAAAGTACGTTCCGGTAGTCTAAAATAATTTTTTTTATTTCTTTTTTAGTCTTGTTATGTAGTCGGGCCAGCCTTGAACTTGGGACCCTCTTTGAGTGCTGGGGTTATAAGCAAGTGCCACAAGGCCCATCCACAGAATTCCTAGAAACTTGACCACAGGTAGTTGGAAGAGGGTTGCAATCCCAGGCCTCCCCCAGTTCTTCTGTACATTGAGGAGTTCTCCTGAGTCCAAGTTGCTTTGGCCAAGACCTACTGCTGAGGGAGGACAAGATATGCCAGTTGCCTGGGCCATTTGGTTTCACCTTCCCCTGGAGTAGGACAGGGAGGGAGGGGGACTCGGGACCTGACCCTCCAGGATGCTGGGCCCCTCCTCTCATAGGTGACACAGTTATGCAGTGAGGACTTCTTATGGGTGTTGCTGAAGGCTTGTGTCTGGGATGGGAGGGAGGACCCAGGGTGCTCTTACCCAACAGTAGATTTGGTCCCTTTAAGACAGGGGTTCTGGAGTTCACAGGCTTTGTCTGTGGAGACTGGCAGAGTCAGTTTTGTCCCTGGCCCTATAATTACTGGTATTTCAGCTTTGAGTCATTTATCAGCAAGTAGTCCAGGGAGAGTGTTTTAGAGGAAGCAGGGGAAGGTGGAAGAAACCTTTGTCCTGGGCCTCAGGCTGCAGCTGGCTCCCCTGTGCTGTGCAGAGAAAGAGCTGGGGGTCAGCTGCATGTTCCACAGTGGCAGGATTCCTGTTGACGGCCCCGTGAGCCGGTGGGCACCAGTGTGCGGAGAGAAGAGGAAAAAGAAAAGAAATGGCCCTGCATGTGGTGTGCAGGGACAGCAGCCTCCCTTCCCCGGGTCTTTAGAGGGAGGCGGACGGCCTGGAGCAGTGAGCACGTGGTGTAGGGTGGTGGTAGTGGTTCATTTGTTTGATCTGTCACTTGAGCAGACTTAGACCCTGCATGTAGAGAGAGGGGGTGCTGGCACATGGTTCGGGGGGCCTTAACACGCCACAGTGTGCACAGAGCCCCAGTGATCAGGGTCCCAGGGAGCTGGAGTAAAGAAGTGAAGGCTTCCTGGAGAGGAGAGAAGCGAGATAGCAAAGGCCTGCCACAACCTGGATGCCGTACCCTGGGCTGCAGCCATTTTTCTTGCCATCCATCCATGCTCTTCCAGAGCCAGCTCTAGGATGCTCACTTTAGGCCCAGGTGAGGTCAGGGGAGAGGCAGATGGGAGGTGACCAAAAGGTTCATGCTTGGCTGTGATAGTGTGATGAACATGGGCAGCCTTCCAGGTTCATTGGAGGACCTGGCTTCCCATGCAGCTTCTGGGGTGTGTGTGTGTGTGTGTGTGTGTTCCTGAGCAGACTCATCATGCTAACCAGCTCACTGCTTGAGCCCTGAATCCTTCACTAGCTGGCAGTGTGGGTATGTCCTGGGCAGGGTCTTGATTTCCTCCCTCCTGTGCAGACAGTAGTGGCCACAAATGAATTGGCCAATTGAGATGCCGCTTTTCATCTAATGGGGTAAATTTCATAATTGAATTGCCTCAGCTGATCTGTGTTAGTGAATCCGTTTCAGGGCCAGGAAACACTTACTTGGGACCCTTGTAAGGAGGGCCAGGAAGAGGCCGAACTTTACAGTAACGGCACCCCCACAGGACTTAATGAGTCTGCTTCTATCTGGCTTCCCCTACAGGTCATATTCTCTTAGTGGAACAGTGCCCTGGGCAACCCTCTGCTGGTACCACTTCTCAAGGCATCTAAAGCTGACACCTGCTAGCTTTGTGGCTCTCTCTGGGCTGTTAGCACATGGGGCAGACACTGAGGGGATTAGAGGAACAGAGGGGACTTGGAGGTTGGAAGGGCTCCCCTATAATTCCCGTCAGCACAGGGTCAGTGGAAGGACTGGGGATCAGATGCTGCTTGTGTGTCACTGTAAGGCTGTCCTGATGGTGTGAGATGAGACCATGCACTGGAGAGCCTTCCCTGGAATGGTGTCTGGCGTCTAGTGGGCTGCTCATGGCCAGCTCCGTTTCCCCGTTTATCCATCCTCATGAGACAGGATGGAGATGGGAAGCTTGTTCTGTGGTCGGCCTGCATGGGGTCCACAGCCATGGCCCCACCCTTGCGCTCTCCCTCCTTATCTCTTTATTGCTCTTAAACCTTTCCTCTGCAGGCCTGTCTCGGTGACCCTTAGGATGACAGAAGGTAAAGAACTTTGTGGCCCGTTGTTTAAAGTGACAGTCCCTCGGGCTGAGATTTGCTCATTGGTGGAGTGCTTGCCTAGCATGCATAAAGCCCTGAATCAAAGCAGGCATGGCACACACCTGTACTCCAGCCCTTGGAAGAAGAGGCAGGAGGATCAGGAGTTCAGGGCAATCCTGGGCTACATGAAGCCCTGTCTCAAAATGGTGGTAAGGTACATCTTTAATCTCAGAAGTCTAAAATTCCACTGGGAGCGGGCTGGGGGAGGGCAGCAGCTCTCTGAGTTCCAGGGCATCCTGGTCTACATTGCAAGTTCCAGAACAGCCAGGGATACAAGTGAGATCTTGACTTAAAAAAATTTATTTTTTTATTTGCATTGGTATTTTGCCTGCATGTGTGTCAGTGTGAAGGTGTCAGAGCTTGGAGTTAGAGACAGTTGTGAGGTGCCACGTGGGTGCTGGGAGTTGAACCCGGTTCCTCTGCAGTCAGCGCTCTTAACCCATTGAGCAATTTCTCTAGCCCCGAGATCCTGATTTAAAAAAAAAAAAAAAGTGCCAGCTTTGTGGTCTTAGAAATCCAAGTCAGAGCCAGGTGTGGTGGCACACACCTTTAATCACAGACAGAGGTCAGCCTGGGCTACGCCGTTAGGCCTTGTGCCAAATAAGTTGCCTGAGAAATTGCACTGTACTTTCCATGAATTCATAATTTTTCCCCAGGCATTTCCCCCTCAGTGGTCTGCCCCCAAGTTCTGTGGTCTGTAGGGTTACTGTGTTTCCGTTCAACCAAGGCCCTAGGCCACCTCCACCTCTTCATCCCACAGTGGGATCCCTCCGACCTGAAGCCGTGGTAGGAAGGACACTGACTTCTGCCTGTGTGACCATAAGCAGGTCCCCTTGCCACTGTGGGCTCAGGGGACTCTTCTAGAAAACAGATGCTTTCCAGAAGGTCCTGCTAACAGTCTCACTGAAATGTCTCAGGGTCTTGCAAGCTGTAATGCTAAGCAGTTATAAGGCCTGTGTGTCACCCTTGTGTGCAGGAAGAACTGGAGAGTCAGCCTGTGATGGGCAGTGTCTGGGACAAGGTGGAAGGCAGGAGCTGGGTGGCTGCCGACTCCAGCTCTGCTGAGTGCTGTGGGCATCAGATGAGCCATTCTCCTGTCTGGACCCTCGTTTTTCCACGTGTAGAATAAGGTCAGCAACCACAAGCTCTCAGCTTCCTTAGCTCCATGAGTGGAGACTGAGTCAGGTCCTGCTCGTACTCCAAAGGGACAGGGCTCTTCTCCCCTCCATCCTCCCTCAGTCCCCCAATTGCTCCCCAGTTTGGGGCTGCTCTACGCCTAGGAAACTGGGTCAGGGAAGCACCAGTCTAGGCCCAGGGGGAGCAGGCCTGGGTTCAATGGAAGGCAGCCCGTAGACGAGTCATCCCCAAGGTCTCCCTTGGCTGGTCCTGAGCAGAGAACTGGACATCAAGTGTGGGAGTATCTGTTGATCCCCTCCCTCTAAGCAATGGGAGAGCTTATGGGATGTCCTCTGGGCACAGAGCCAAGGTGGAGAGATGGAGAAAGAGCCCAGAGAAGGAGACAGGATTATGGGAGCCCAGGGGGGCAGGAGGAGGAGGCTGAGTGCCAGGCTTTGGCAAGGATGTGCCTGCAGGACCAGTTGGGTGGCTCCTCCTGCAGAGCAGGGCCGTGGGAGAGCTGTGGCTGCTGCAGCCCGCCCGAGGACCACATCTGCCTTGGCTGTCCCTCTACCCACCTCTGCCAAGTGGGTGCTTTCCGTGTCAGCCATGGGGGCAGGAGTAGACTGTGGGACGGAGGGAAACAAAGCTTAGCCCTTTCTACCTCTTCCTGTC